CCCTCTCTCTCTCTCTCTCCCTGTCTTTGTCTCTATCTCTCTCTCTTCCATCCTCTAGCACAGGCCTCTAGGGCTGCGTGTTCGTTGAACCAGCCCCGATAGGTGCACTTTTGGGGTAGCCAGCCAGTCCCCTACGGTATAGTGACTATGCTTCAGGCCTCAAGTGCCCGACGAGAAGCATGTAAGGGCGAAGGGCCGCATGCCATCCGTGATACGACAAGCCGCGTCCAAGATGAGATTTCAAATATTCCACGAAGCTGATGTAATCTGTTAATGAACCAACCCTTTGGGGACACGCATTTGAACGTTCACTAAAACGTATATTTCGCTTACTACAGGATTCGCACGAGATTATCGCATTATTCTCGTCGCATTCGCGCGACTTAGTGCAGAAGACCGGTATATATGTATATGTATACGAGAAATGAATAGTATAAAGTTAAAATAAATTATTTTATATATAGGATTGATCATATACAATATAAAATTTATATACAGAGATAATTATATATATACATACATATATTACAATCACGTAGCAAAGAAAAAATATCTTTATTTCCTGATGGTTTTTGACACTATAAATGAAATTTCCTATGATAAGAGTATTTCAATTGCGAATATTTTTAGGCAGTGTGCTACAAAGTAGAAGAGAGAATCTCGGTTCTATCACGCTGTATCATTTTCCTTTTTTTATTCTTTTTACTTACCATCGGTCGTAGAGCTCCCTTTGAAACACGTGAGCTACCGTCGCAAAGCACAGGCAATTTCGGTTTAAAAGCGAGGCTTATCGTGGAGTTATGCCATGCGCCGATATCTGCGACAGCCCATAAAATACGCGCCAAGAAAACTGACTTTCGCTTGAGATACTTCTCCTTACGGGTTTAAATTTTAATAAAAAGGATATATATAATATAAAAATAGTAAAAACACATTCTGTTACATAATATATATAATAAAACAGTCGTGAAGAAATGTCTTATCTTTATCGTTAAGAAGATCTACAATGACTAATTTTAAATTAATTCACTGAGAAATAAATGTTTGGTATTTTTAATTATAATTATATAGAAAAATAATTGTTGTGAAGTAAACTATTTTTTTTATAATTTTACTGTAATGTTAGTGATAATAATCTTATATATATATATATATATATATATATATATATATATATATATGTGTGTGTGTGTGTGTGTGTTATTACTTCCGTGTTAATATAACTAAAAAATATAATTAGAGCTAAAAGCTATTATTTTGATCAGATCAAATTTCCTCTCAATGTATCATATAACTAGTGAATACGTAACAAATGTTATCTCTAGAATGTTTTGTCTTTTCTACAATATAATATATATTGTACAATACAATATTCTAATTTCATATATATATCAACTTTACGTAAATAATTAGAATTATTATTCTCGCAATTGCATTTTTCTCAATAGGAAATCGATACATATTTTAAAATCACACTCTGAAATGAATTTCTAAATAGTTCTCGACCGTGGTGGCAGAGTTTAATTTGCCTCTAATAAGTTCTTCATATCATGAAAAGTAGCGGAAGACCGACCGATCGTACAAAATGAACGACGTCATTAGCGACGTGAATCACGCTTGTTTTCTCGTCCAGACAGCAACCCGTGCATGCTTCTCTCGTATTCTCGCGATTCAGTCGGGAGAATGCGAGTGCGGAACGTCACGCTTTTGCTGACACACCGGCAGAAAGCATGTCCCGCTAAATGTTGGACAATTAAAAAGTGGGGAGCGAATTAGCGGAGGCTACAGCTCATTAGTTTTCGCCGCCTCGTGACGATGACAAAGAGCGAGGAAACGTTACATCGAATGACTGAATGCCATCATAACACATTGCGCCATTCTTCAAGTTTGCAAACACAACAAGAGTATACTGATCCGTAATCTGTAAAGGACCCCGCACAAAACCTATGGAAAATGGTTTTCGGTCAAATTGGCTAAATTTCACTATGTTATAGTTTTCGCCATGCAGATAAAAAGTTATCATTGCACCAAGTCCCAAAAGTCAATATTTCCCAAGATATAAAGGGTCAAAGTAGTGAAATATGGTCATCCGCAGTAGTAAGACGTATGTTATAAGTATAAGTGATACATTGATATTTATTCACGAAATAAATAAAAATCGATTTTTACATATATATATATA